GCATCTTTCTGATGCAATAACAAAAGAGGAAGCGGGAAAGAAAGTCAACGCTTTCTGTTCGGGAATTCCCTATTTTCTTGAATTTAGGTCCTTAGATGTCGCCCTTTCATATTCCACCCTTCCTTGTCCCCTCCTGCTGTCAATGCCATTTGAAGCTGCTCCACCTCTTCTCCGTGAGAAAATACCCATACATCATCCAACAATCGATCGTCTGTATCTCCCGTGAACCCCGCAAAACCACCCACGACAATTGAATGCTTCTCGCCGTGTCCAACCCCCGCGTACGCGCGAGCCCCTGGGGATGAGGGGAAATCCTCTTTAGACCATCGCTCGATTGGAGGCAAATCGAATCGGAAAGTCGTCGCAAGAAAGGAAGAAGGAAGGGTATCGTGGGTGGTATTGAGGCCACCAAAGATGCGGAAGGAAGGGAATGAAGGGGAAGAGGAATGAAGTGCGACGTGACCGCTATAATGTGGGGAGATGGAGGAAAAAGACAGTGAGAACGTGTTGTAGGGGACTTGTCATGCATCTATACCTCTTCAATCGGCTCAAAAAATACTCTAGACGGATAAATTTGCCGCAGTGACACACCCCTTTGCGATTCCCTTCCCCCCTTTTCGACCACTCACTGTCGCACAGGAAGACGGGTGATTGACTCGTCGTCCGCCGTTCCCATTGCCAGCACGCGCCACGCGTATGTCCGCCTGTGCCAATCAAACGTCATCAAATAAACCTCGTTTCGATCCTCTCCCATCGCGTCCACGCCGCCCACGAGGATGAGCCCGGCCTTCGACGAGGAAGGGGGGGAGGAAGAGGGGGAGGGCGTGGCGCCTGTCGAGGTGCTCGGGACCGCGACATGATGCCACCGGGCTGGAAAATTCACGCTCGAGGGGAGGGAAGATCGACGGGTCGGAGGAAAAGGAATGTTTTTTATCCCTTCATCCCCATACGCAGCAGAGTAAGAGGAGGGATGCGACTCCTTTCCTACCCCCGACTCCATTTGTTCCGGTCTTAAACGGATCCACCCTTCCGAAACCAACAAGTCTTGATCCACAGGTCTCCCCTCAGTCTTTTGGCGCGCCTGTGCACCAAGTCGCATCGCCCACACCTGGTTGTCCTCCGCCCCGACTTTACCGAACCCTCCCACCAATACAAGGACTTTCCCAACCGCTTCGTCTGCCACCACGCTCAAGGACGCCGCCGCACGCGGGGTAGGCCACACATCTTCGTCCGTGCGGCTTCTGTCCGATGCTGGGATTTCACGCCACTCCGATGTCATGGCGTTGTATGCCCACATATCGCTCAAAAATGCTTGGGAGGAGTCCTGGCCCCCGAACGCGTACAGCACGTCGTCCTCCTTATCCACCGCACTGGCCGCACCAAAACGGGCGGAGGGAGCAGACGAAGGATGCGAGGACACGGGATTGCCCATATTATCCGTCCCTCCATCGGAGCGGAGACCTGTGTGTTGCTTCCATGATCCTTCTTTCAGGTCTGGCGAGAGGCTAAGCTCCCAATGCGCATCGACGGGGGAGAAGCAACACGATGAGGTACACCCTCCGTAAAGAAGAAATTTCGTGCCGTTGGCAAACGCCCCCGTTATGGCAGACATGGTGGGGGGAGGACGAAGGTCTCCTTGAGGTACTGAGACCGGCCACCATGTAGGAAGAGATGACGCCGAACGGTAAAGGAGAAAAGCGAGGAGAGGGACATTCCGCATCCCTGTGGAAGGTGCAAGAAAATTGTGCTGTACGCACGACGTAAGATGTCGTTAGCATCCTGAAAGGTTTCAATTATTTCAATGAGACGTATACACCAGGAACACATGCTTAGGGACTGACGACGTCGGTTTAGCGACGTCTCCTGTCCTACTCGGAAATTAAGGTTTTTTGGGTCCTAAAACTTTTCTTTACTTAGTTGACTGATGCAGTGCAGATGACAAGAGAGCCACGCTGTAGACGGCCTACTCATCGATCAAATTCTGCACGATCAAATTTCTGTACCATGGATCATGTTCGAATGGTTTTGACTCATCCCAAAAGCTTCTTGAAGAAGCGCGTCCCTACTCCGCAAACCAATGCTGCCTCAATTTCAACGAATCTAACTCACTAAATGAATGCCCACAGGACCTGCTGCGTTCTATTCATTACAATTACAATGCCCTCAACCTTTGCTTCCTTTACGGTACGTGTTTAGTAACTCTTGGCCCTCGTGGAAAGGGATGTAAGAAAGTACAAGACTTGGCTGACGTATGTGCCCTCCCACACGAGAAAGAGTAACCTTTCTTACCCATCCGTCGTGACAACAAATTGAAAGCCATTTCCGTATGTCAGTGATTTATTCTCAATAAAGATCGATGCCACGATGGCTATGCGTGCCTTAGCGTTGTAGACTTTTTTCGAGGGACGCCAGCAATTTGGAGGTTGGCTTCTTGTTGCCTTCTTCCTCTTCCTTCATCAAACATCATGCGAATAAGTCAGGCTGACCGCTCAAGATTGGCTCCTACTTCTTGCTATGATCGCAGTGTCTTTGTGATGAAAACCTGGTCGTTTGCGCCAGTATTTGATGTAACGGGTAGTAGCTCACCCATTTGTTCCCTACATTTGCCCCACTTCGCTCTCTCAGGCCGTCCTCTTTTTCGCCTCTACGGTGGCCGCTGAGGTTTGCCATCTCTATAGCTCTACCATTGAGTCCCCTTGCTTCACCCTACTTCGAAATGAGTCTGGTTACGAAGTTCGCGAGTACCGGGGAGAGGAAATGTGGACCAGGTAAGGGAGGGGAGGACGAGGAGTGGAGGGAGGGAGAGGAGGGAAGGGAATGGGGATGACGGGGAGAAGAATTTTAAAGGATGGTGAGAAGCTGAGAGAATCAGGGAGGAATGAGGAGAAAGGTTGAAAAGAAACAGTGGGTGAAGAGAACGAGACGAGGGAAGGGATCCAAAGGATCGGGGTCGGGAGTGTCTCTTTCGTGGCATGGTATGATTACGTACTATAGTGTATGATATAGTATGTCCCTCGCTCACATTTGATCTCCTCCTCGTCCAACCCGTGCAGTGCTTACGTGCGAAGCCCGTCCTTCGCGCAAGCCCAGAACAAAGGCTTCATGGCGAATTTTGACTACATTTCTGGTACGTCTTATCTCTGCTTTACGCTTATACTTTGCAAGCTCCCCGCCCTGCCTGAGTGCCCACACTCCCCTTTGCGTCCTTGTCTCCCTGGACCAGGTGAGAATTCCGAGGGGGAGAAAATTCCCATGACCGCGCCCGTGACCTTCCGGAGGGCGCCCGACGACCAAGTCGGCTGGCTCGTCTCCTTCTTCGTGCCCTCCAAATACCCGAGTCGGGAGGAAGTCCCCGCCCCCAAGGACGAGTCCATCTCCATCATGTCATTGGGGCCGGCCACCTACGCCGTTCGTGTCTTCGATGGCTTCGCCACGTTCGGGTGAGGGGCATAGGGATGTTCTCCCCCCTGTCTATGCGTCCCCCCCCTCTAAGCCTCCCCCTAACGTCCTCCCACCATTCTTTTCGCCGTCCTTCCAGGGACTTCGACAAGAACGAGTACGAGTTAAAAAAGGCCCTACTGGCCGATGGTGTCACACCCGTGGAAGACGCAGAGAACGGTGTGCTTTGGGCGGGATATGACAGTCCGTTTGTCTACGTGAACAGGCACAACGAGGTCTGGGTGCGCGTGGCTTGAACATAGAGCTTGCAAAGGCAGAGAATCAGGAGTGGTTTTGACGATGTTCAAAGAGGAAACGAAACGGGAATTGCTTGAACGTTGGAGGCGTAAGGCCAAAAGAAAGGCTAACTGCGCTCGAAAAACGTGCGATGTACGCGGAGGGGGAAAGACTGCCACGTGAGGAGGTTGGATGTAAGTACAGGTGGCCGGAAAAAGACTTTGGGAGGATTTCAAGCGATTCCTGTGCGTTTATCTAGAATTTGGATCTGACGAAGAATATCAGGTGTACGTGCACCTCATGAAGCACTCTTGAAATATATCGATATCACTCGAAAAATCGAAGAATCATACACGGAAGTCGGCACAAGGGGGACGTGTTTAAATCGTTTACCTGGTCTGACGTCCCGCGTTTCATTCAGTTTAATTTATATTGTATACTTTTGTGGTGAGGAATATAGCGCTTACAACATCGCATGGTTGATCCTAGGCCCACCTAAATGAGGGGAACAGGCATGGAATATTTACGCTATATGAACGGTGTAAGGTACGATCTTCTCGTCCACCTTAAATAAAAGTGATGCTCGCCGTACACTCATGCTAGAATGAGTAAGCGTTCTATTCAAAATTTAATTTCTATCGTAAAGCAGCATTGAACCGAGTTTGCACGGGGTTCTTGTAAACAGCACCTGTGAGCGTGCGTTGGGCTTACAAGTAGTAGCAGGAAACGTTAATGACCGAATGTCCATTGCAATTAAAATAACGAATTTTCATATATTTGAAAAAATAAACTCGACCACTTAGAAGGTTTCAACACTATCTGACGCCGAAAGGCTCCGTCTCGATTCATAAGAAGTGGAAGTGGGATAATTATACCGTGTGGCCCATGCCGGGAGGTTGGTGAGCTTGAGCAACGACGCATTTCCACTTCATCGCTTAACTCACAGACGCATCCACATACATGATGATAACACAACAGAACGACATTCCGCCTATGTCTATTGTTGAACGGGACGCCTCGCTTCGGCCACCGTCATGAAGAGCACCCCTTGGATACCTCCATCGTCGTCAGTGCCGGGACGGCCTCGTCCTCGAGTTTACCTCCTTATCTCCTGTCTCCTCCTCTTATCTATTCTCGAGGTTTACACTTTCCTTACAACTCAAGTGCTACGTGAAAGCTCTGTCACGATCAGTCACAACAAATTCCGCCTTCAATCCCGGATTTCGGCGCTTCCACCTAAGCAAATCGTTGTCATCGGCGCTGGCATCGGTGGACTTGTCACGGCCGGACGCTTGGCTCGTGCGACCCGTGGTCGTAATGTCTCAATCACGATTGTGGAGAAAAATGATAGGGAAAGTGCTGGAGGCCGGTTAGGAGAGTATACCTGGGAGGGGCATAGGTGGGAGACCGGACCGAGCCTACTGCTGCTACCGGATGTATATATGGAGATATTTGAGCACTTGGGTGGATCTTTTCCCAGTGCATCAAGCAGCACGACAGAAAGAACCAGCAAAGAAGACATAACGCGGACAAGCGCAGCCAAATGCGGGGGCGGCCGATGGGAAAGACAGGCAGAGCCGCCCATAGCTTCCGGGGGCTCCGTGTCAGATGGTATAGGGCCCTCACGCCTGACCAAAGTGGAACCTAGTTACCTCGTGATATTTGGAGACAACGATCGACTTGAACTGTACAGCAACCGGAGTCGCATGGTGGAAGCCATCAATCGCTTGGAGCCCGGTGGCTTCCCTCGGTATCAAGACTATCTCGAGAGCGCTCAAAACAATTTGGATTTTGGCTTGTCGGCATTCATCAAAGAATCGCCGCAATGGGAGTATTTCCCCGCCTTTTGCAGAAATTTGAACCTGAACGCACGCTTTTGGCCCTTAGCATCGCATCACAGACAGCTGGAAGGCTTGTTTGATTCGAAAAAGTTGCAAGCCGCCCTCTCCTTTCAGGATTTGTACGTGGGACTCACACCCTACGAGGCCCCCGCCGTTTTCTCCTTGCTCCAGGCCATTGAACTCAATCAAGGCGTCTTCTATCCTTTGGGCGGGTTCGCACAGGTATGAGCACTTTGTTCAACGACGCTTAAAATCTTGGCAGTCGTTAATTCTCACGCCTGAGAGATTCAGGATTAGAGATAGGATCGGGCGGGTTCAGGAATGGGGGAGCGACATAGACGTGGTCTCAATGAGCGACCTCGGTTTTATGCCTCCCTTTGCTGCGCCTCTGAGCTGCCTCCAGGGTCCTAGAGTGGCTGGGTAGCCCCTCACGCTCCACGAGTCCGCCCCCTTTCTTTAACATTCTTGACCTCTATTCGTGCGTTCCCCCCTTACTGCAGGTCAGTCGTGAGCTCCTCCGACTCGTGGAGGCAAACGGCGTTTGCTGTCTATTTGACAGTCCCGTTGCCGAGATACTCGTGGAAAGCGCTGGCACAGGCATGACCGTTGTGGAGGGAAAGGATTCGGGGAAGGTGGCTACGAGTTGTTCACTTGCGGACAGCATCTTTTATCCCAAAAACAAACCTCATCATCATCATTCACCTCCCTTTCCCTCTTCCTTTCTCCGATGCCGCACTTTTCCCAGGACTACGCACCCGCGGTGTCCGCCTCCAGAACCATCACGTCCTCCCCGCGGATCTGGTCGTCAGCAATGTGGACCTACCGTACACGAACAAATACCTCTTTTCCCGCCTCCATGCCCAGTCCAAAGACCACGACACTCGAGGCTTCTCGTCCTCCGTCATCTCCTTCCTGTGGGCGTTTGACAGGCCCTTGCCTTCGTTGCGCCATCATACGACATTTTTGGCAGCCCGGGAGGAGGAGGTGGAGGCGGAGGGAGGGCGTAAGGAGGGAGGGAGGAGCGGTGCGAAGGAAGGAATCGACCCGGCGAAGGCAGCCTGGGAGGCCGTTTTTAAAGACAAGCGCTTTGACGGTCGTTTCCTCAATTTTTACGTGCATGCACCGGCGCGCACGGACACCTCCGTGTGTCCCCCGGGGCATGACGCGGTGATGGTTTTGGTACCCTGTCCGGTACTGGGGAAGGAAGAAGGGGGGCAGGAGGAGGAGGAGGAGGAAGCTCGCATGATTGCCGACGCACGGGAGGCGGTGTTGGCCCGCTTCGAAAGTGTGATGAGGATGGAAGACGTGCGGGATGGCCTCATTCACGAGCGAGTGATTGGGCCTCGGGAATGGCGGGAAAAATACAGCCTCAGTCGAGGAGCCGTCTTTGGGTTGA